GCCACCATATGGGTGCTAGGAACCAAACTTGGGTCCTCTGCAAGAGCAGCAAGTGTTCTTAACCACTGAGCCCTCTCTCCAGCCCCTTATTATTTTTTTAGGGAGGAGGATGGTCTTTTTAGAGGCAGGGTCTCCCTGTAGCCCCAGCTGTCCTGGAACTCACTATGTAAACCAGGATGGTCTTGAACTCACAGAGATCCGCCTGCCTCTGCCTCCCAAGTGCTGGGATTAAAGGCGTGCGCCACCATGCCCGACTAGACTTCTTTTTTTTTTTTTTTTGGTTTTTAAAATATTTTATTTATTATTTTTATTTTGTGTGTATGAGTGTATTGCCTGCATATAGGTAAGTGCACCCATGTCGTGCAGTGCCCATGAGGACAGAAGAGACCATCGGATTCCTTGGAACTGGAGTTATAGACAGTTGTTAGCTGCCATGTGGGTGCTGGGATTCGAACCTGGGTCTTCTGCAAGAGCAACCAGTGTTCTTGACTGCTGAGCCATCTCTCCAGCCCTGACTCTTTTTTTTAATTTATTTATTTTTATTTTATGTGTATGAGTGTATTGCCTGCATGTATGTGAGTGCACCCATGTCGTACAATGCCGCGGAGGTCAGAAGAGGGCTTCGGATTCCTCTGGAACTGGAGTTAAGGATGGTTCGTAGCTGCTGTGTGGGTTCTGGGAATCAATCCCGGGTCCTCTGCAAGAGCAGTCAGTGCTCTTAACCACGGAGCTGTCTCTCCAGCCCCCTGGACTCTTTTTTTTTTCAGATTTTTTTTTTGTCTTTTTTTGTTGTTTGTTTTGAGACAGGGTCTCCCTGTAGTAGCCCCAGCTGTCCTGGAACTCACTATGTAGACCAGGCTGGCCTTGAACTCACTAAGATCCGCCTGCCTCTGCCTCCCAAGTGCTGGGATTAAAGGCGTGTGCCACCACCACACCCAGATTAAGTTTTTTTTTTTTTTCCTTATTTATTTATGGGGTTGGAAAGATGGCTCGGCAGTTAAGAGCACCAGCTGCTCTTGCAGAGGACCCAGGTTTGATTCTTAGCACCTGTATGACACGCTAACAACTATCCTGGATCTGGAGTCATGGAGAGTTGTTAGCTGTCATATGGGTACTGGGAACCAAACCCAGGTCTTCTGCAAGAGTGGCTGGTGCTTGTAACCGCTGGGCCATCTCTCCAGCCCCTATTATTATTACTTTTAATTGTGTATATTTGTATTTGTTTCTATGTGGGGGTATGTACACAATGATTGCAGGCGCCTGAAGGGGCCAGAGGTGTTAGATTTTCCTAGAGCTGGAGTTACAGGCAGTTATGAGTTGCCTGGTATGTGTGCTGAGATTTGAACTGGAGTCTTTTACAAGAGCAGTAAGTACTCTTAATTTCCAGACCACCGTTTGTTTTGTTCTGAGACAGGGTCTCCCTGCAGCTCCAGCTGGCCTGGAACTCGCTATGTAGACCAGGCTGCCTCAATCTCGCAGAGATCTGCCTGCCTCTGCCTCTCAAGTGCTGGGATTAGGGGCTTGCGCCACCACATCCAGCCTTAGACTCTTCTTTTCCAGGGCTACCAGGGCTATGTCACCCCAGAGGGCAGCCATCACTGGTGAAGGCTGTCTTGGTGAGAGTTGGGACTATGTGCCTGCCAGGGCAATTAAGGACAGTAGATAAGCACAGGCTTCTTTGCTCAGGGGAGTTCTTAAGCTGTTCCCAACACTCACCTAGTCTCTGTGACCTGCTCTAGTTTCTCTATTTCTCTTTCTGTCTCTCTCTTTTTCTGTCTCTTTCTATCTCTTTGTGTCCATCTCTGTTTATCGTTTCTCTTTCTCTGTCTCTGACTTTCTATCTCTGTGTCTCTCTGTCTCTGTGTCCCCCTGTCTCTGTGTATTTTTCTGTGTCTCTCTGTGTGTCTCTCTATCTCTGTATCTATCTCTCTGTCTCTATGTCTCCATTTGTATCTCTGTTACTCTGGGGCTGTGATCAGCAAACTTAGGGTCCAGGGCCCCCACCATCCAGGGGAACAGTCTGTGAGCAAGACAGCATAAGCACGTGAGCCTGCATTCATTGAGCATCTACTGGGTGCCTGCTCCCTTGCAGAGAGAGGCTATGCATTCCTTTATAGAAGTGGCACATAGCCAGAGGCTGAGCAACAGAAGGTGGTCAGGAGGGTCACACAGGAAGGCAGTGGGTTCGAAACCCATCTTCCTGGGACCCCTCCCAGGGCAGGGCCACAGGGCTCTGTCACTCAGATGATAGCCATCACTGATGAAGGCTGTCTTGGGGCTAGAATTTGTACTGGTGGACGCTTCCAGTCTGATGATGGAGGCACTGGCTATGGTGGGGGTGGGGTGGGGGGGGTTAGATGGGAACCTAGGGGCCCAAGAAGGAGCAGAGAGGGGAACCCAAAGGCTTTGGCAGCCATGTGGGGCTGCACAGTGGGTCTTGGCACTCATTGTGGGCAGTGGGGTGACTGAAGCTAGGAAGGAGCATGGCAGGGTGTGGCCAGGAGAGGCTGATAAGGAGCTCAGACTTTATAAGGAGGGGCTGCTAGAATATTCTGGGGGTCCTGCAGGCAGTGTAGATAGGGTGGAACAAGGTGGCTGGTGCCATGTCCAGGTGGGATGTTGGAAGGCTGGCAGTGGTGGGCAGACTGGGGTGCTCTGGCATGGGGACTCTGGGAGGACATGTTCTGCGAGTTATAGACATAACTGGTGGTCCCAGGGGAAAACCACAGGCACAGCTTTTGAGCTACAGTGTCCAGGGTTGGGGAGCCAGGACTGGCCATGTGGTGACCTGTGGGGTGGGTTTAGAACTCAGGCCCTGGCCATCTACTCTGCCCTTGCCTACCCACTTCATAGTAGTTACCCTCCTTACCAGCTTTTCTGGTTTTTATGACTGCTGCCCTGAGGAGCAGGAAACTCTACTTCCAGGACCAGCTCTGGCTGAACTGGCATGATATCACCCTTTGTCCCTTTTATGGGAACCCTCAGGCAGGTCAGCAGCTTTTTCTGGGCAAGGGTTGGGACTATGATCCCATGTGACAGGCTTGTATGCTCCTGGGGTTGGGGAACTCACTGCCCACTCACAGGCTCCACACCCACTGCATGTACCCAGGTGCCTTCTTGGTGCCAGTGTGTGGCTCGGGCATAGAAGACTTGCTTCCATTCCTTGCAGTGGGTAAAGGGACATCACTGCCTGGCTCCAAGGCAGGGGCCACTTTTGGGAAAAGTCCTGCCTAGACAAGCCCTGGGGCCAGCTAGGAAGCATCATCTCACCCTGTCCTGTCTGTAGATAAAGTTTCTGAGAAAACTGTTGAGTGCAGCCACCTGGATGATTGAGGATCTGTGAGAGGTGCCTTCCTTAGTCACACCTGTCACCCACAAGGGCTAGTGGAAAACAGGCCAACAAGGAAGCAGGAGGCTAAGACTGCCCTTTCTCCACAGACACCTCTGGGGGTTCCCCCACAGCCTCAGTTTCTTCCTCTATGCATGTAGAGGAGTGATCCTGGCTTGCCTGGCACCTCCATGACTGAATGGCAACAGACAGCTTTTTATTTATTTTTTATTTTTATTTATTTATTTGGCTTTTAGATATGATCTCCTGTGAAGACTTGGCTGGCCAGGAACTTACAGAGATCTGCCTATCTCTGCCTCCTCTGTGCTGAGATTAAAGACATGTACCACCACACCTGACTCTGATTTATTCATTTTTATTTTATGTGTATGAATGTTTTACCTGAATGTATGTAAATGCAGCCATGCATACAATGCTCTCAGAAGTCAGAAGTGGGCATTGGATCCCTGGAACTGGAGTTAAGGAGGGTTGTTAACCACCATGTGGGTGCTGGGAACTGAACCTGGCTCCTCTGCAGGAGGATAGCCAGTTCTATAAATTAGAGACCAGCCTGGGCAACTTAGACTCTGTCTCAATCTCTCTCTCTCTCTCTCTCTCTCTCTCTCTCTCTCTCTCTTTTTTGAGACAGGGTTTCCCTGTAACCCCAGCTGGCCTGGAACATGCTATGTAGACCAAGATGGTCTCGATCTTACAGAGCTACAACTGCCTCTGCCTCCCAAGTGCTGGGATTAAAGGTGTGCGCCACCAGGCCCAAACAATTATTATTTCAAAATTTATTTTAATTTTTAAATCTTTTTTTTACTCATAAGTATTTATTAGAGATGTTTTTAAAAACATAAATTCCCAATTTTGATTTACAGTAGCATAAAACTTAAATGTTTAACAGGGAACTGTTAATTCAAAATCCAAAATCTATTTTTATTTTATGTGCATGAGTACCTACACCCATGTTGTGCAATACTCACAGGAGCCAGAAGAGGGCAGAAAATCCCCTCGAACTGGAGTTACAGTTGGTTGTTAGCCACCATGTGGGTGCTGGGAACTAAACTAGGGTCCTCTGCAAGAGCAGTCAGTGCTTTTAGCTGCTGAGACACCATCTCTCCAGCCCCTCAATCATGTTTTATTTTTAATTTTTTTTTAAAAGAAAACCAGCCAGGCTGGGGCTACAGGGAGATTCTGTCTCAGACAGACAGACAAACAAACAAAACAAACAAACAAACAAACAAACAAACAAAGGAAAACCAGAGCTGGGGCTGTGACCCAGTTGGTGGAGTGCTTTCATGCATGCATGCAACCCCGGGTTCCATCCCCAGCACTCATATAAACCCAGCATGGTGGCACCTGCCTGTCACCCCGGCCCCAGGGAAGAAGAGGCAGGATGAACTCAAGTTCAAGGTCATCTTTGTTTATAGCTCCAGGCCAGTCTGAGCTAATAGAGTCCGGTTCTCAAGAAACAAAAAGGAAAAAAACCCCAATGCCTTTGCTGAGGAGTCCTGGCTGGGGGCCAAGGCGGGAGAGCACTCCGCCTCTTTTCTCCCAGTCCCAGGAAGGAGGGGCGGGGTCTGATGGAATGGGGCTGGACGGCTGGCGCTGGAGCCTGTGAGGAGCGGGGCTCGGGGGCGGGGCCAGGGGGTGTGGTCGCCAGGGGGCGTGGCCGCCGGCCTCGCGGGCAGCTGAAGCAGTGCCGTGGGTCTCCCCGAGCTGTCGCCTCCCTGAGCGGCCGGCGATCGGCGGGACCCCACGTCCGTCCGCGCTCTGGGGCCCGAGCCGGGCCTGTGACCCGCGTCTTGAGCCCCCGGCCCGTCCCACCTCCCTCATGGCGGCCACCCGGGCCCTGCAGGAGTGGTGCCGCCAGCAGTGCCAGGGCTACCGCGACGTGAGCATCACCAACATGACCACCTCGTTCCGCGACGGCCTGGCCTTCTGCGCCATCCTGCACCGGCATCGGCCCGACCTCTTGTGAGTGTCCTTTGACCTCTGCGTCTGGTGGGGGAAACTGAGGCCCCGCCTGCCTGGGATCCGGGTCAGAGCTGGGGGGGGCACCCCTCTTCCCGGATGGATCACCCCAGGGCAGGGCAGGGTCCTCAGGCTCAGCCTACGGGGGAGGGGGGGGAGATGCAAGGCTGCTTAGCACAGTGGCCTCTGTGCAGGCCACCAAGTGCAGCTGGGCCAGGGCCAGGCTGTGGGCCGTCCAGCTGGCTTAGTCAGTGGTGACTCAGGGCGGCGACCGCCTTCTTCCAGCTCCCTGGGAAAGGGTGAAGGAGCAGCTCCTGGGGGCCTTCTGAGACCCTGGATTGTCCTGGGGGTCAGGGTCCAAGATCAGGGTCACTTGAGGTCTCCAGTGAGTACTGCCCCTCCTCCCAGCCTAGCCTGTCACCTTTGGGAAAGCAATCAGATGAGCAAGCCTTAGCCCTCTATGCACCTTAGTGTAACAGGGGACAATGGAGATGGGGCCACCTTCCTTGGAAGAAGCAGGAGGGGGCTGGGGCTGGGGTCTGTGTCCCAATAAGGTCCTGGCATAGGAAGCTGAAAGAGGAGAGGCTGGCTCAGCCTTGTTGCTCGAATTTGCCTCACAACTGAATCTATTCTATCAGTTATTCACTCAGCAAACGTTTTGGATAAATGTTACAGGGACCTAACTTAGGCTGGTGATAAGGGAAACAGGCCCACACACAAGACCACCTACAGCCCAGGCTCTCCTGGAAAAGAATTGTCCTGGGACGTGGTGGCTGGGGCCAGAAGGGCTGGCATGGTAGAGGGGGCGTGTTTCGCAGGGAGGTGATCAGGTGAAGGAAGGCCTAGGCAGTACCTTACCTCTGGACCTGGCCTCAGTCAGACTTCTTGCTGCGAAGACAGGGAAACTGAGGCTCGAAGAGCGCAAAAACCCTTGCTCAGGTCACTTGGCTTAGTAGGCAGAGCCAGGTCTGGCACCATCTGGCTCTTTCTCTGTGCCAAGCTCAGCTCTGCCTGGGAGAGAAGTGGGAATCTTGAGCAAGAAGCTGTGCTCCTGCCCTGGGGTTGTGAAACACACCCTTGGAGCTGCCTGGGGAGTCCCCCTGTGGCTCCCTGCTTCAGGCTCTGCTCCTGGGCCTAGTCCAGGCCTCCTCATCCTTTTCAACCTCAAAGAGGCGGTGCTTTGAGTCCAGTGACCCATCACTTGGAAAGTGGGGGAGCTGGGCTTGGTGGAGGGTGGGCCAGGGATGTGGGCACCAGAAAGACTTAGAGCAGGAAGGTAGGTAGCCAGGACCCACTGAGGGTTCATGGTGAGGCTGGATGGTGGTCTGGTGCAGGGAGTCCAGATGAGACCAGCATGACAAATCTTCGAGGGGATGATGGAGTGGCGTCAGCTGGCCTAGTAGTCTCAGTTGGAGACTGGACATTTGGGGCCTTTCTGGACTTGAAGGGTTTCTGTCTGAGGCCAGGTGTGTGTGTCCTGGGGGTCAGGGTCCAAGATCCGGGTCACTTGCGGTCTCCAGTGAGTACTCCCACAGGGAACAGAGGTGTGCACATGTGTGTATACACTTGTGTGTGTGCCTGTATGTGCGGACACAAGCAGTTGTCATATATTTGCTTATTTAGCTGAAAGCACCTGTCTATATTGTATAAGCTCTCCAAAGTCCCCAAGTGCAGGGAGCAATGTCTTGGTCCCAGAGACAACACTAGAGCCCACAGGGAACCCAGAGGCTCTAACAGGAAGGAGGCTGGAGGAAGAGGCACCGGCAGCTCCACTTGGGATGTTATCTCACACTTCTGACTTCCCTGCTGTCCGTCCCCACTGAACAGGGAGCTGGAGAGGAACGGGTGTCTCTCAGCCACTGCCAGATGGACTTAGAGATGGATTTCTCTATATCTGGAGCCCCACAGCAGGTGCACATAAGGGCAGCAGGTGGGACTCAGTAGATGTGGTAGGAGGTCTGCAGGAGCCTCTGCCCATTTTGGAGGAAAGGCGGTACCAGGACCAAGGAGTCGGAGATGGAGTGATGGGACCATGAACCAAGGGACACCTGGAACCCTTGGAGGCTGGAAAAGATAATAAGGGTCCTCCCTTTGTTGCCCCCAGAGAGATCATGACCCTGTTGCACCTTGATGCTGGACACTGGAATCTAGACACGCAAATTCCTGTGTGTGGAGTCCCCAGTGTGTGAACATTTGTCACAGAAAAGGAGTGCCGTGTTGGCAGGCATCATGTGGTTAATGAAATGTTACACTGTGGCTGAGTACAGGAGGAGGGACCCATGCCACCCAAACGTTAAAATCCTCCAGTGTGGGCTGTGGAGATGGCTCAGCGGATAAAGGGGCTTGCCACCAAGCCTGAAGACCTTGTTCAAGCCCCAGGACCTACATTGTGGAAAGAGAGAACCGACTCCTGCAAGTTGTCCTCTGACCTTCACATGTCACATGTATGTCCTCCCCCAATAAATGTAATTTTAAAAATGCCCCCAGCCTGTGCCCTGGAATGTTCTGGGCCAGGTGGTCGCTGGGGGTTAGGGGGGTGGCACGCCTCGCTGCAAAGCCCTCATGTTCCCCAGTAGCCACCAGGAGGGAGGCAGATTGCAGTGGAACACAGTTACGGAGAAGCTGTCTTCTCTGAGGAGCCTGGAGATGGGACCTTGGCCTAGGGGGTGTCCCAGCCCCCCAGCCTTCCAGTCCTGTCTCCTTCGATGCTCTGGCAGCAGGAGGGTGGACATCCTGTCTCTTTGTCCTTTACTTTGCCACCAGGAAGTCCTTCCCTTTGTCTGACCTCAGATCTTCCTGTTGCCTGTGGAGTATACTTCCTGTAGCTCTCTGTGGAGCCCAGCTGTGAAGCAGCAAGTCTGGGCATGGAGCCAGACAGGTGGGGTTGGGCTGCCAGCTCTGAGTTCATATGTACTGTGTTCCTGCACCTCCCACATCGCTAGGCCTACGGGGGTGAAGAAACTCCCAGTGACACCCACTGGGAGGTGGCGAGAGGGCCAGCTCCCTCCCTACCCTGTTCCATGTGCCCCTGCTCTGCCTCTGAGCAAAGGAGTTTTCCTGAAGGACCGCCTGCAGGGTCTGTTTCCGGGATGACACCACCCTGCAGGTGAGAGCTGGGGAGCTGCCCAGCACAGCAGCTCCACCCACCCACCTCTGGCCTGCAGCCCTGCCCAGACTGGAGAGCCTCAGGGTAGCCCAACTTCCATGTGGGCCTCACCAGGAATGGCCATGGGTCTCTGGTTGAGCCTTGGGATCAGAGGTAAAGCCCCCTTTGGGCAGGGGAACCCTGTAGCATCCAGGGATCAAACTCAGATTGTCAGGCTTATATGAATTCGTTTTTACCCACTGAGCCACATTGCCCACCCTTCTTTCTTGAGACAGGGTCTCATGTAACCCAGACTGACCTTGAACTTGCTATATAGCCAAGGATGACCTTAAACTGATCCTCTGGCCTCTACTTTCTGAGTGGTGGGATGTGAGCTGGGAACCACTGTGTTGGTTGGTTTTTGTCAACGTGACACAAACCTAGACACACCTGGGAAGAGAGAAGAATGTCATTTGTGGAATTTCCTCCATCAGACTGGCCTATGCGGCATTTTCTTGATTGCTAATTGATGTAGGAGGGTTCAGCCTACTGTGGTGCTGCCATCCCTGGGCAGGTGAGCCTGGACTGTATAAGAAAGGTAGCTGAGTAAGCCAGGGGGAGCAAACCAGTGGGCAGTGTTCCTCCATGGTCTCTGCTTCAGTTCCTGCCTCCAGGTTCCTGTCTTGAGCTCCTGCCTGGGTTTCCCTCAATGACAGACTATAACCTATAAGATGAAATAAACCCTTTCCTCACTGGAGGAAAGGTTATAGTGTTTATCACAACCACAGAAAGCAAACTAGGACAACAGTTACCACGCCCCATTGATGACATTCCTAGGGATGGAACCTTATGCTAGGCAAACCACCTGAGCTACAACCCAGACCCAAAGTTGGGGTTCGTTTTGTTTGTTTGGAGGCAGGATCTTTATCTATAGTCCAGGCTGGCCTGGAACTCATATGTAGCCTAGGCTGGTCTGGAACTCAGTATGTAGCCTAGGCTGGACTGGAACTCACTATGTGCCCCAGGCTGGCATGGAGTTCACTGTGTATCCCAGGCTGGCCTCAAACTTCGGCCAATCATCCTTATTCAGTGTTGGGATTGCATATGTGTGCTACCACAGCTGCTGTAAAGTCAGAGTTACACAGATATTTTCTTGGTCACTCATGGGGTGGCCTGAACTTCCAAGGAGACCCCTCCAGCTCTGGAGAGTGGTGTGAAGGCCAAGGCTAGAAGCAATCTGGGGCTGAAGCACATTTGCACAGATATTTGGGTGGGGGCCTGTTACTGTGTCTCTGAGACTTCAAGACCCTCCTGTTGGGGGTCCCTGGTGTCACAGGGTGTGTGCTATACAGAAGCCCAGGAGCAGCCATCTCTCTCCCTGGCCAGAGCCGAGGGTGGGCCGGGTGAGGCCAACTGACCTTTGCTCCCACATAGGCTGTGGTTGGCAGGAAGCTGCTTGGTCACAGAGGCCTTCTGTTCCCCAGCCTGAGGCCCGCTGCCCAGACCCCTGCCGCCGCCTTCTGGCCAGAGCTGTCCAAGGCTGCAGGGGGTGGGGTGCTGCCCTCCAGGGCACAGCTCACCCTGGTGCTGGCCTCCTAGAGGCCTTTTTGCCATGTTTGGTTCCCAGGCTCCTGGCTGGTCTGGCAACCCACCTGTGCTCTCTCTCTCTCTCTCTCTCTCTCTCTCTCTCTCTCTCTCTCTCT